GGACTACGTCAGGCTACCTCTGACCACCATCAGTAGGCAATGTGGGTGAAGTGTCTTGCCCAAAGACACAACAACACTGAAAGTCAGAGGTAGGGCTTGAACTGACAACCCTTCGATTGCAGGGCAAACTCCTGCATCCACTGTTGCCACCAACACAAATTTTCATATATTACATCAAATTGTTTGGTTGAAAAAAGAACAAACAATGGCATAGAATTCCAATGTAGTGAAAAAAAACCTTTATATGTTGTTCCTTTCTCCGTTTTACTAACCAGAGCAAACAAACGAGAGACATGTTCAAATATGTATGGAAAGAAGTATGGCATCACCTTTATTTTTTAAATTTCAGTACTTTGCCCACTGATGTTTTGTCGATCTAAGAAGGCGTTCGACCGTGTCCCTTGTGGTGCCCTGTGGGGGGTGCTCCGGGATTTTGGGGCCAAAACTAGATCGCAAATAGAAGCCGCGGAAATCAGTTTTCTTTGCAGGATGTCTGCGCGCACCCTTCCAGGCAGACTGGTTGTCTGAGTCTCATCTACACCATCTGCTTTCACTGCAGCTGATAAATGTTACTACTTCAATCATTCAGATTGTCTCCAAAGACTTGTGAACCATAATGATCAAATGCATCAGCTGCCTTTATGAGACTGGGTTTTTGGTAACAAAAGGCACTGCAAAAAATGAAAATCTGTATGAGTTATTTTTGCGTAAATTGAGTAAATTTTGTCTTGAATTGAGGAGATAAGTAAGACACCTTGCCAATGGAACAAGACAATTTACATTTAAAATAAGAAAAAAAAAATTGCTTTGTCTTATTTCAAGTGAATATTATCTAATTGTCTTATTTTAGGAGTAGAAATACTGATTCCATTGGCAAATCGTCTTATTTACCTACTAAAATTAAGGGTAAATACACTTATTTTAAGAAATTTTGTACTTATTTCTCGATGGCCTACGGAACAAAGCCCTAGAAAGTTACCATCAGTGCATCCTGGGAATCCCTTGGCATGACTCTACTTAACACTGAGATACTCAGTAGCTAACCTTTCCATTGCAAAGACCCCAGCAGCAATCGGCCACACATGGAAACTGGGTACTCTACAGTCCCAGGTCAAACTTGAGGGATATATGGGCAACAGTGGGCCCTAAAGATGCCATACAATAATGCTGTTGCACCAATCAACCAGTGTTGCTAGGAAAACTACTGTATATTAAAACTAGCTCACTCATCTGAGCCAAAACAGAAACAGGGCATGCTCAGGAACACTTAAACAATACTAAAAATCTCTCCCACCACCGGCCTCCGAGAGAGAGAAAATCAAAGTTGAACTCAGCAAAACAATCTGAAAGTCAAAACTCAGAAACAATGATCTGGCCCTGATAGCTGGGATTGAGCAGAGTATAAAGCAGCAGGAGCAGGTGGATAAGATGAGTGATAATGGGTAACCGGGCAGAGTTAGGCAGGTGAGTGAAATGAGCAATTAGGTCAGCTATTAGGGTCATGATCATGACATACTGTAGATAACTTAAAATGGCCCTGGGTGGTAATGTTCATGGATTGGACGAGGCCTGTCACATATATCTATGTTTGTGATGACTATCTATATTAGATGAGTTTAACTTCAAAAATGATAGTATATATTTTAGCTTACTTGAGATTACTTCATCAGTAGCACTTAAGAACATATCCATAGGAATGCACTATGAAACTATTCCAACCAGTGTATACAAAACGAGATTAATTGTGTATACAAAATGACAATAAAAGTTCTCGAAGTCTAAGTCTAATCTCGGTTTTAAGATCTTTTTCACAGATTAATTTGGGGGCAAGTAATTTTCTCTCATAAACCTTTTCCCAGACAGTTTCCTCACAGTTTGTCCGCTATTCCTGACTGGAATAAAGAACAAAATGAGGTTACTTGCTTAGCAACAGGAAAGAGGGAAAACATTTTTTCTTTTTTTTTTATTCATCCATGGTTTCAAAAGACTGAAGTGATTATCCTAAAACAATATCCTTGTGATAGTATGAAAAAGAAAGAGCTGATGATTCACCTGCAACCAACACAATGGGCTGTTTATCTGGATGAAGCTCCATCTGTCTGGCGATCCAAGGCCCATCAAAGTGAGCGTACCACCAGCCCTTCTTCTTATTCTGGGGGTCCTTGTACTGGTCAGCGGGCCGGATGAAAGGAATTCGAAAGTAACGCTGCTGTCGGTTCATTGCAACTTCGTGATGCTGGGTTGTTGTTGGAGGAGCCGGGTTCTGTTCAGCTGCAAAGCAATCATTTGAAAAACAAATGTGTAATACCGGGGGGCGGAGTTCACCATAGAAACAGATTGGTCTTATATAGATTTAACTTCACTTTTCCATGAGCAATAAGAACAAAATAAAATATACATGGAGCTTTACTGAAACAGGACTGAAGAATAACCTAAAAAAAACTAAACAAAAATAAATGGGAAAACTTAAAAAACAGCTTCTACCATCTTATTAAGACTCTAAATATATCTCGCTGCATCTGTGAATACAAGAATAGGATCCAATTTAGAAACAAACAAAATGCAGAGCCCTAATTAGGGGAGCAGAAGTTAGCTTTTAATTTTCCATTATCCATTAATTTTTGAAGATCTCATTCAGTTTATTACAGTGCTTAAATTATATTGAAATATTTGCATTTGTCCCTTTTTTTAACATTGAACAGTCATTTATCCATTAGGTCAGTTAAGATTAAAATCTTTTCCAAGAGACATTTGGCCAAAAAGGAAGGTGAAACTAGAAAAATCTAAATTGACTTTGATTTGTTAATGAATTTTAAAATTAGAGTTAGAACAGAAAGAATATAAAAACAAGGTCCAGCTTAGGTAACAAAAAAAAGCACCATCAGTTAAAAAAGCTGTATAAATACTTACGTTTTTCAGAGAGATTTAAGATCTACTTTAATCTGTTAAATCTGAATTGAGTAAAGTTTAGACCGAATGCCGCGTCCCTAATGCCCGTCACACCTTACCGATTTAGCCAGCGTATGCCCGAAGACCCAGAATCTCCTGAAACACTGGCATACGCTCAACTTTCAATGTATTTTTTCAATTTTATAAATACATTATTCATAACGTCTGTCAAACGAAAGCCTAACTTAAGCATAACACACGGCAGCCTAATGCCCATGAAATTATGCACAAGCATCATTTCATCAGCATTACGAAACATCAGTTCAAGCTGCTGTGCCTGAGGGGAGGCGCCCGGTCTGCACAAAAAGATGTCTTTGATCATAAAAAAAAAGAATAAATAAAAAAGAAAAAGAAAGAAAGAAGGTTTGCAGTCGCAGCAGATTCTGTCTGCTGGGAAGTTTGTTGGTTGTTGGCGCGAACGCAGGGAGGATCCATCACACTCACCTTCACGCTCACCCTATGACGGCGAAGCAGGAGAACTTACAGTTTCCCCCCTTTTTATACCAAAACGCTGCCAATACGCCATTATACTGTAGCTGTAAGTTAAAAACACGTTCAGCGCTCGTCTGGAACACGTAAAATACGTTGATGTGCGTTGGAGAGAAGTTCTTGATAAGTCACGCATAAGATCTGCAAAAGTTACTCATAGCTTCTGGATAAGCTAGACGCCACGACTTATGAGTAACTTACACTCAACGAATGTCAACGATCAGATAACTGACCTATAACTTATGCCCCACTTATGACCATATGCTGGCATACGTCAGGAAATTTTAAGCATGCTCAAACTTTCTTGACGTACTGACTATATGTTGGTGTGCCAGCGTGTTTCATCAAATTATTTCTAATTATGTCGATAGTAAAGATCAGTGATCAGTAGGGTTTGTAATCCTTTGACCAGTCTAAACTTGATCACTGAGCACTGTGCCATGCTGTGTTTGTACAACGCTACTCTGCTCTGCCACTCCACAAATAAATACTCAACCTATAAAACCTATAACCTAAACCTATAAAAACCCTGTGTGATCCAACCTGAAGCCATTCAGATTTTCATTCTAAGAGTGTACTCCATCAGTGAGATGTTTTATTTTAGATTGAAGACTCCATTATCAACAGTTATGCATTTCCAATCCAACATTAGAGAAAATAATCCTGCAGTCAGTGTTGAACATGGTTGAGGGTTAAGTTCTCAGTTTTTCCATCAAACTCAGTGATACATAAAATCATTGCTCTCTACTGCAAGTGTCTAAAGTGCAAATAAGACATTACAACACAGCCTGCTGTGTCTGCAGAGAAACAAGCCTGTATGACAGCAGACTTGGTTTACAATATGCACGTGTTTCTTCCTTCAATCGACAAGAGTGTAAATATATATAAAATCAGATCAACTGGATGACAGGAACAATACAATACAAACCATAGTCAGTGATGGATTTAGGAGCCCTCATGTCACTCCCGTCGTCATTCTGTTTCTTGTTCTTGGACTTCCAGGCATGGTAAACCTTCAGACGACGGTGAAATTCCTCTCTGCAGGCTGCCAGCAGGTCAATGTCTTTAAAAATAAAAAAAATTCAAACAATCAATCAATTTTCTAAGTACTTAGTCCGAAAGACGATTCGGAGATTATTTATTACCTTCGGCAGTCATCAATCTACACTCTTAAAAACTTTTTAAACCTTCAATATTCTGGAGAGATTCTTAAGTCATGATTTTTTTGTGTTAAATTAAAAATATAATTACACCCAAACCAATTCTTCAAGATTTGGTTTCTTGCTGAGCATTAGATTAAATGTTTGTACCCACTCACATCTTTTCATTACGCGTCCAACTGGTTTCACTGCTGGACGTCTAAGAGCAACAAAATTGCCAAAATATGAAGGTAACTGAGAAATGATGGCGTTTGGATTTCTCTCAGTGTAACCAAAGGATGACGACAACATGAGAACCAACTAAAATACATTCAAATTCATTCATAATAACATAGCAAAGAGCATCTGTTAGATTCCTAGTGTAATATCAGTGAAACCATCATAGCTTATTTTCAGATGTTCTCAAAAAGCCAAGAAATGATAATTATCAGTAAAGTTTGGAGAAGTAATAATAGAGAAGCTTCAGTTTGGCTGAGATGGACCAGAAAAACTTTACAGTTCCTTGAGAAAAAGAACATTTCCTCTCTGCAGATGTGAAAAAATGCTAAACTTTACTTTTTTAGATATCATGTTCACAACTGGACCCCGAGATTTCTAAAACACACTTTGGCAACTCCAAAAAAAACAACAAAAAAAACAATAAAAACCCGGTGGCTTCAAACTATGATGAAGTATTAGAGACATAGCGAAAAAAATATTCATCATATCAGATCTGCAAGGATATAAATGTAAAATGACAACAATAAAGCTGCAAAATTAAAAGAATAATGAGATTAAAGATGTAGCCAACGTTAATGTAAACTCTAACAAACGAGTTAAATGCTCGACAGCTCAGGCTGCAGTTTGGTTGAACACTCTGTTGGAGCGCCGGTCCTATTAAAATTACATTTTTGTCATATCATATTTTGACGTTATTCTCATATCACTATAACTTTATTCTAGT